CCCCCGGGCCAGCCAGCCGCGGTGACCTTGGGCACGGCGCGCCCCCGCCCCGGGCCGCGGGTTCCCCACCCTTTCCCACTACCAGGGCCCAGCCTGCCAGGCCCTCTCCCCTCCCTGCTGGGGACGCTCTGGCGGCCGGCTGGGCCTCGGTTTCCCCATATGTCAAAGAAAGAGGGACCCGACTGCCCTGAGATCTAAACTGCAGGCTCTAGCATCTCACGACCTGGACGCGTGCCACCGACATGCTTTGTGACCTTGGCTCTTGGCTGAGCAGCTCTTCTCTCTCAGCCTCAGTTTCCTCTGCAGAAATACAGCAGTAATACCCACTACCTCATAGGAGTCACTCCTGCAACAAACATCTATTGAATGCCTACTATGTGCCAGGCTCTGCTCTCAGCCCCTGGGGTAGAGGTGGGGGTGGGAGGTGCCTTGAGATACACAAGAGACAAAAATACAGTGGTCAAAGCCTTGGCCAGTCAGATGGAGGTAACAGCTCCAGGGAAAAATAAGATAGGGGGTGGGCAAAGATGTGGGCCAGGAAGGTGCAAGTTTAAACTAGGGCTGGGGGGACTGAGAAAGCCTCCTTAACAGCGAAAAGGACCTAAGGAAGGTGGGGAGACTCATGGGGAAGGGGTAGAGATGGACTCAAAGAGGCAGGAACAGCAAGTGCAAAGGGCCTGAGGCAGGAGAAGGTGGGGCCAGGGAGGGAGGCAAGGCCTGGGGCTTACTACAAGTCCCCAGGGACACAACTCCCAGAAGGGCTTGTACTTGGGTTAATGTTTCAATGCTGCATTTTCAAATTTTTTTTTTTTTTTTTTTTTTTGAGACTGAGTCTCACCATTTTGCCCTGGGTAGAGTACTGTGGTGTCACAGCTCACAGCAACCTCCAGCTCTTGGGCTTAAGCGATTCTCTTGCCTCATCCTCCCAGGTAGCTGGGACTACCAGTGCCCATCACAATACCCAACTATTTTTTGTTGTAGTTGTCATTGTTGTTTTAGCTGGCCCAGGCTGGGTTTGAACCTGCCAGCCTCCATGTATGTGTGGCTGGTGCTATAACCACTGTGCTACAGGTGCCGAGCCCATTTTTCAAATTCTTAATCATTTCTGAACAGAGGCCTTGCCCTTTCATTTTTACTGAGTCCAGCAAATTCTGTAGCTGGGCCAGGTCATGCGGGCCTTATGGGCTGTTGAGGATACTAGGCTTTTACTCAGAGTGAGGCAGGAGCACCCTGAGGGCTATGAGCAGAGCAGGGCCTTGCCCTGGCTGGGATTTTGAAAGTCTCTTCTCCGGCAGTGTGGTTGTTACTTGAAGGTCATCCCTTAGGCAGGCGCTAAATACACAGTCTTTTAATTATCATCATCATCTCTGACAATTACACAGCCTTCCCCCCCTGTTGAATGATTGTAACTTCTTTGGACTTGGGTGTTACCATCTGTAGAAGGGATTTAGAACTCTAGTCTCCTTATGTGGCCAGGCAAGGGGCCACAGCTAAGGTGAAATGAATGAGCTCCATGTAAGGGCTCCCCAAAAGTCCTTGGTGATCAAGATAAATACTACTTTAAGGCAATTTATTTTTTATTTTTTTAGAGACAGTCTCACTTTGTCACTCTCGGTAGCGTGCTGTGGCATCATAGCTCACAGCAACCTCAAACTCTTGGGCTTACGCGATCCTCTTGCCTTAGCCTCCCTGGTAGCTGGGACTACACGTATCTGCCACAATGCCTGGCTATTTTGTTTGTTTGTTTAGCAGGTCCTGTCATGGTTCAAACCCACAGCCCCGGAGCATGTGGCTGTGCCCTAACCACTGAGGTATAAGAGCCCAGCCCTAAGGCAATATTTTTATTTATTTATTTATTTTTGAGACAGAGTCTCACTATGTCGCCCTTGGTAGAGTGCTGTAGCATTACAGCTCACAGCAACTTCAAACTCTTCGGCTCAAAAGCTTCTCTTGCCTCAGCCTCCCGAGTAGCTGGGACTATAGGCACCTGCCACAGCTCCCAGCTATTTTTTGTTGCAGTTGTCATTTAGCTGGCCTGGGCTGGGTTGGAACCTGCCAGCCTTGGTATATGTGGCTGGCACTGTAACCACTGTGCTATGGGTACCTGGCCATAAGGCAATATTTTTACTTTTTATTTATTTATTTATTTTTTTGAGACAGAGCTTGCTGTATCACCCTCGGTAGAATGCCACGGTGTTACAGCTCACAGCAACCTCAAACTCCTGGACTCAAGTGATTCTCTTGCCTTAGCCTCCCAAGCAGCTGAGACTACAGGCACCCACCACAACGTCCGGCTATTTTTTGTTGCAGTTGTCGTTGTCTAGTAGTCCCAGGCTGGTTTGAACCCACCAGTTTCGGTGTATGTGGCTGGTGCTGTAACCACTGTGCTATAGGCGCCAAGCCAAGGCAATATTTTTAAAAATAAAAACTAATGCATAAAAGCATCCATGATAAGCAAAATATCAACATGTTAAATAAAGACAGGATCTCTCTCAGGAGGTGATAGGTTAGTTGTGCAAATGCAGGGTTGCCCTAATTCTTGTACTGTAAGTGAAAAGCAACAGACTTGTAAAGCTCTTTGATATAATATTCCTGTTAGATTCTGGAATATACAGATCCTGAAGATCATATTGGAGACCTCTTTCAGAGTGGGCTATGAAATTCTCCACGCCCAGGGCAAAATGAAAATTTAGACTCTCTTGCTCAAAAATGATTAGGAATTTCAAGATGGTGACAGCTGAGCTATTCACTAGTCAAAGTGCCTTTCTTTTTGAGAGCAGAGGCCTGTGAGACTTCATTCCTTGAATGCCCATGAAGCCAGTCCTTCTCCCACCACCCCCCTTCATGAGGACTAGACACCCTTTACTCCCAGAGGCCACCTGCCAGTATTTACTTAGGCAGGAGCCTCCTAGTATGTGGACAGTCAGTGGCCAAAGCCATTCTAAAAGCCCCCCCCCCACTGGTGGAGAAAGCAGAGCTGCACACAGACACTTCCAGCATGGTAGGGTCAAGGCTGGGCTACCCAGAAGGACCCAGGCCCTTGAAGGAGAGAATCATTGTGAAATAGTTATTTTCAGAAAAATAGGGTCCCCCGCACACCCTCTCCCCTCATGGAGAGAAACCCGGAATTAATTTTCACTAGGCCCAGCAAATTCTGTAGCTAGACCAGGTTATGCAGGCCTTATGAACCATAATCCCACCAACAGGCATGGGAGCATGTTTTTACTATGCACCAGCCTCTGCCTTAGGCACTTTAACCCTTGGGTTCTGGCATCGTACCCATTTTAGAGATGGGAAATTGAGGCAAGAGAGGTGCCATCACTTTGCCCAATCACATAATAGGTAGGTGACAGAGTTGAGATCAATTCCAGGAACTTGGGCCCTTTACCAATATGTAATGGGCTCCGGGGGACAGTGTGTGTGTGTGTGTGTTTGTGCATGCGCAGTGGTGGTGGAGGAGGGGGAAGGTTGGTGACAGTAGGCAGCCCATGGTGGCCAAAGAAGTCAGGAGACAAGATGATGTGGGGTCCTAGGTTCTGGGCCGAGGAGCTGGGCTTTTACCTGGCTCCTTCCATGGAGAGCCATGTAAGATTTTAGAGCACTATTTTTCGGTCATCCTTTGCTTGCTTGACATTCTGGCCGGGATCATTCTCTGAGGTGGGCACCCCCCCACCAGGGTCTGAGCAGCATCCCTGATC